TCGGTCACACATCCGCACCATATCACGAGTGGGAACGCTGTGCTCAACTTCTCCTGCAACCGCTAGCCAGTGTTGATCAGTCCCTTCTCCATATATTGACAAGCTATCTAATTTATCTTCGAATCTCCTAGCTTCAGACTATTGATTTCACTGGGTGAACACGATTCAATTGCAGAAGGTATTACTGGTTAAAACGTTGTCAAACCACAAATAACTGTGCCATCATCAGCTGTATCACAAATGTCTAACTTAGCTGATACTTAGATTCTTAAACATAAATTCTATCAAGCAAAACTATAGTTATGTCGTTTCGATGTGAGGGGAAGCGATTGCAGGAAATATTAACCCTGTACAATGTATATTATGAGACGATGAATGTTGAAATGCTCATTGGTAAATTAATAAATCATCTAAACGAACCATATTTTTGTATGTTGAATATGTAGATTGCACTGAATTGAAAAAACCTCCTGACAAACATCTCCATCAAGCAGATTGTCACGATTTATTAAGAGTCGTTTTGTGATTGCTAACATCCCAAAAACATTACAATAACGACAAACTATCTCACATTTACACTAATCCACAACTATTTGGTGCAAATGACAATGGTTACACAGTTTTGAAGTGAAATTATGTCAGTCAGTCAGCTACAACGTAGGACCAGGCACATATATGCATCGGTACAAGTTGCCACACCTCATTAGCACAACAAAATTAACACCGAATTCACAGAAGTAGTTACTTCACTGGTAGTAATATATAAAAAACGATTGTATATAAGGATATGATGCGGGGAGAAGGAATTAGTTCATAGAAAGTAAGTAATCTCAAGGTTTAAGTGAAGGCAGAGAGTGTATACACCGACGCCATTGTGATCGGTTGTGAGCCAAGTCACACTGTCTCCGACCATTGGTTACGATAGTCACGCGGAACACAACCAAGTAGTCTGTATCTACCAACATGGCTCAGATTAGAAGTTAGTGACTTCAAGCACTGATACCACGTTTTGCTTTGGCGTTTTGTGACTAACACTTAAAAATACTACACACATTGCTTTCTTGATTACAAACATCAGTTAAATGTCTATGCCGCCGTCGTTGCAGCTAACATCACTGTAAAATCATTCAAGCAGAACCTGACGACGTCGAAACAGCTAAGTAACTTACACCAATAAGCCATCAAATAGAAGCAAAGATCATACAGCATATTCGTTACGACGACTAGCATTTCAACTTAATGTTCCACAGTTAGCCGAAGATAATGCAAAAGTATGTTTAAAGAAATACACATAAGAATACGTTTGTCAGAACACTGATTAAATATAGAGAGCACTTGTGATGGTGTATAGATAAAATTATCACCGTTTTTTAAAATTACTTGTTATTCATTAGTCAAGGAATAGTGAAGTTCAAAATATGTAGTTTGATATAATTTAGTAAGCACAAAAATCATTGTTCTGGAAGGTTTCTTCGTATACCATACCACACTAGTCATTCACTGGAGTCGTAACGTGTCCCAGAAATATTGGTAGAGTATTATTCCAGATAATCGAAACGAAGAATGAATGATCAACACGAAATTCTACCACAGGTTTGGAAGAATTAAGTGCACATCCAGCGAATATACACAAAGTGGCTGCAGCAGCTACGACACCTTCCTCATCAATCTGTACAGAATGATGAAATAAGTCAACAAAAATCAAACTGAAAGTAAACTGACGCATGTTACACTCAGACAGAAGTTGTTTTATTCAATACTTTATGTTTGATCGAGTATGAAATTCTTAGCAAAAAATAATGTAGCACTTCAAGAAAGGCTGATTTCAGCTCATTAATTACATGTTTTAATTATTTCCACTAGTTATTTGTTTGACCTCCGACAAAGTCATTTTGATGTACACAGTCCAAATTCCAAAGACAGAATGGAACACTATTGCTTAAACATGAACTAAAATAGCTATCAATAAATACTATCTCCGTAGAAGAGAACACATGTTTAAAGGCCTTTCCGTCAAAGAACCCCAATGAAACACCGGATACAAAACAACACCAACTTTAAAAATTTATCTCATAATTTAATTTGAATAGCTCTGAAGATAACAAGAACCAAAGTTGAAGTGTCAGAACCATGCTTGAGTTTCATTAATTCATAAATCTTAGAAGCCTGAGGATGATGATGATGATACGTATCTAAACAAGCTCTTAACTGCGAATCAAGATATTTTTGACTGTTAGCATCCATTAATTACTCTATGTGACTCACGTTTACACAGAACTACGAAAGTTCATGCTTAAGTGAAAAAACGAATAATCGCTTCAGTTGTTCAACTTAATTCGAGTATAGACTTGTGTAAAACATCCGTTACACATAATTCGCAGTTCTTAATAATGACTTATTCACGTACCATTTGTAGTGTTCTTCCACTACAAATAGTTTTTTCAAGCTAACCATTTAGCACACTAATTTCAACCGCGATGGATGTAATACAATCACTTGGAAACTTCAGCGAAAAGCTTTATAGGGAGATTTTGAAAAGAAACAAGGGTAAGTGCGTCCCACACGATGTATTTGTTGCTTCCAGGTTATTTGTAGAATACATTTCTCTCCCCTTTCAATATCTATACTGCCCTCGAAATGATCCTCTGGAAGTGCAAACAATACGAATGCTGAGTTGATAAAAGCGATGCAGTTATCTGATTGCTTGGAACAGGAAATAATCCACAGCGCGATTGGTGAACTTCTGGCTGATCTTTCGAAGTCTGATGAGAGTGTTGAGATAATCACTGGAAATAGAATCTATGTAAATGAAGATGTGCAGATTGAGAAACGATTTAGAAATATCATCAAGCAGCATTACAATGCACTGACTGAGCATGTGAGTATGTGTTCTGCCTTATCAAACTTTGTGTAGGTTGCGTTTCATACGGATCCTGAATGTGCTCGAAATCGAATTAATCAGTGGGTTAGTGAACAGACCAACGGAACAATCCAGGAACTGATCCCACGTGTGGCTATATCGCAAGAAACGTCAGCTGTTGTGCTATCCACTACATACTTTAAAGGAAGTATTATTTATTTAGTCGTCAACAATAGTATATTCAAATCAAACATTTATTACCTTAGTTTTTGTTTTTTTATTACTGTGTTTTATATCTGCTGTCAACTCTATGTGTGATTACCTTTGACAGGTTTATGGGGTCCACATTTCCGTAAGGAGGATTCACACGACAGCGATTTCTTCAAACTTGACGGATCAACAATGAACTTGAAGTTAATGTATAATCTATCCTGTTTCATTATGGTCATCTTACCAGATTTGGGATCGCGAGCTATCAAGATACCGTTTAAAGATCCGAAGTAAGCTTGATTATTAATGTACCTGTTTTAAAATGTTTGTTTAGACCTGACCATGAAGCACTTATGGTGTTCTAATGCTTACATCTTGTTGAATGCCTTGTTTTGATTGCATAGTCTGATAACTGGATTACGAGCAACTCAATGACAGAGATGCAGCTTCAAATAATGCTAACCGAACTAAAGCTGACTGAAGTAAAAAATAAATGGATAATTTACATCATATTCAACTTACGCATGTTGCCCCTCATGAAGGAGGATAGGCCTCCCACCATCATTCTCTATCCAACTCTGTCATGGGCAATCTTTTCCAGCTGCTATTGATCCTTCTGATTTGTGATTCCAATTTTCGACTTAGTGCGTTCTTTGACCTTCCTCTTTTCCGTTTCCTTCCAGGATTCCAAGTAAGCTCATGCCTTGTGACGCAGTTTGATGATTTCCTCAATGTGTGTCGTATCCACTTCCACTGACTCTTCCTAGTTTCCTCTTCAGCTGGAAGCTGGTTTGTCCTCTCCCACAATATACTGTTGCTGATGGTATCCAGCCAACGACATTGATCATCTTATATAGACTGCTGTTTATTAATGCTTGTACCATTTTGATGATGGTTGTGGTAGTTCTGGAAGCTTCAGCTCCGTACAGTAGAACTATCTTGATGTTCGTATTGAAGGTTCTCACTTTGATGTTGGTTGACAGTTGTTTTGACTTTCATGTGTTCTTCGACTGTAAGGATGCTGTTCCTGTTTTGCCAATCCTCGCCCGTAAGTCTGCATCAGATCGTCCTTGTTTATCGATGACGCTACCCAGATACGTGAATGTTTCCACCCCTTCCAGAGTTTCTTCATCAAGTGTGATTGCGTTGGTGTTCTTTGTGTTGTATATGAAGATGTTGCTTTAACCCTTGTGTATGTTGAGTCCTACTGATTGAGAGGCTGCAGCTACACTATTTGTTTTAACCTTCATTTGTTGATGTGTATGGGATAGAAAGGCCAGGTCATCTGCCAAGTCCAACTCTTCTAATTGATTCCGATTTGTCGATTTTATTCCGTTCCTCCCTTCAGATGTCGATATCTTCGTAATCCAGTCAACCACCAAAAAAAGAGAGGAATGACGAGAGTACACATCCTTGTCTGACTCTGATCCTCACTTGAAATGCGTCTATCAGCCCTCCTCCATATACGACATTTCAGTGTTATCCATCGCATGGATTTCGTATGTTGCAGCCATTTTCCACGTTTACATAATAATGTCGAAGAACGTTTCATTAGTTCTTCTATCCATACTACTACATTCTTTTTCATTATCAAGGAAATTGATGCATAGTGATAAATTCCATTCAGTTGATTGTTCAACTAATGACAAAATCTTATTTTCTTTCACCATGTTCTTATTCAGTAAGCTTAACCTTCTTTCCATAATCATCTTATTCAACGATCATATTTCATCAATTCAGTAGATACACACAATTCGATAGAAATAGTCTTAGAATATCCTCATGTTATCATTAGCCACATTTATTTCAAGTGTATTTATATAAATACAAAAATAAAAGATAATAGATTCTGTTGATTGAAGATAAAGAATAGCCCATGAACTACATGATTGAAAGATCAACATCAAACTGATTGGTTCTTGAATTGAATCTATTGGAAGCATGATTCATGTAATTGAGTATATTGACGGTATACTGACACGAATTTGCCATATAGTTCATACTCTACAAATAAAATTACAATTCAGTAGAAAATCAACATGATTATGTAATTATAGTCAGTGATAGCATGGTAGGTGAAAATAATGCTTCACAATATTGTGGTCTATTGTTTCGAAGTATAGACATAATTCATTTAAATGGGTAAAACATGAATATCTAACGGACGAGGTATGGTTCAATTGAACAGTATTTGTCATTTATTGTTCATTGAAACAATTCAGTGAATTAGGAACTAGGACGCGTACTTCATCCTATTTCGGACACTTTAACTGGATGTACCTACATCCCAAGGTTGATGTTCACTCTGAGACACGAACCCAGTACCGTTAGCTGAGATGTAGGTCCGCCCAGATGGCGAGTTCCAAATAGGATGGGACGTGCGTCCTGGATTTTACTGCTATCTATCTCTGCTTATAATGTTTGTGAATTAAGGCAATATATGGCCAATACGCACAGCATGTACATATGTCAACAAGAGACTGATCAATTGTAGTCCTAAACATCATTGGGATGGTTCAGGTAAACGATAACAATTGAATGTATTAATTTAATTCAGTTATTTATTACCTTTAAAACATCAGAAATACAGTTTTTTCTATTACATTAGATATAACTAAAAATAGACTTATTATCAGAAGGCGTTTTGTGGAGATTTTAGTAATTTTACAGTTGAATTCATGAGTCATTTGAAACTAGACCAGTATTATAAACCTGGATTCAATGGATGACCTTTTCGTCCTTGTGTGGGGCTCATCAGCATTGCGCATCCACAATCCCTCTCATGGGGTTCTTATCCAGGGCTTGCGGTCTTGCGTGCGAACACTTAACCTCTAGATCACTGAGCCGGTACCCAATGGTGGTAATGTCTAACCACGAAATTGCGCACTGCTGAGGAATCCCAAGATAATATGAAACGGCCGTCCAGTGCTTCCACGTTTTCAGTGGTGGTCTAACATCAATCGTTTCATGATACCAATCAAAATCTTAATAATCTCCACAACCCCATACTGATAAATAATGGAATGATTGTGTGTAAAGTGTGACTTCATATGTGGAGTGCGTTGCAATTTGATAATTCAGGTATATGAACTAATTGATGTTTAAAATAGATAGTGCTTGAGATTTAATAACAGAAGCTTAACTGTTATGTTTTGTCAATGAAGTGAAGAATAGAGGATAGGGAAACGAAATACATTCCTGATTAATGGGAGTTAGGATTCCTCTGCCTTAAACTCGAGCTAAACCATACCATTTGAGGTGTATAACTGGTCGAGGCTTCGGTTACGATTGATAGACAAAATAGTAAACCAGGGGGGTAAACATGATTCTGGTTGGTAGGAAAGGCTCATGTAAGGTGTTTGTCTATCAATGAAAGCGTAAGTAAACCGTAGAATGCTTTGTAAAACTAAGTCTATCTGTGTAGAAAGTCGGTCGTCAATAGTCATTGACGGATGTATTTAAAGCATCTCCATCATACACTAGAAGCCCGTGGAAGTGATGCCGATATTTAGTGAAGGTAGTACAGTTATGGGACTCTTTTGGTTGAACATGATAGGAGTGATTCGGAAGACGTCTTAAGTCAGCTAACGTAAAACCATGAGTCCATAAACTGTAAACTGAAATGCATGAATCTTGTGTTTATACATTAACCATTAATCAAATATATTGAGTCCTTTATATAACTATTGAATTGATCTCTTCACTTTTTATGTTTCTTCAAGCTTTTTCTTTCAAGATTAATTGATACTTTTATTATTTGATGTCATCAAATTGTTCGAACTGTATTTTACATGATGATTTAAAGGTTAGAGGCTCGCGCGCTAGACTGGATGTCATGGGTTCAGTTCCCACGGGAAGGATCGTGAGTACGCACTGCTGAAAAGTCCCACAGTACGACGTAACGTCCCTAAAATTATTTTCAGGTTTCCTATGGTGGTCTAGCTTTAATGGACTCAGGAATTCAACTATTAAATGAAGTTTATCAAAGATTGTGTATTTAATTATACGTTTACTTACGTTTAAGGATAATATCCAAGTAATCAGTATATTCAATTGGGATTTCATTCAGTAATATATCATTTGGTTTAATAAGATGATTAATATGAATGAGCTTTGGTTGTTTAAAAATTGTTGAATAATTACGTTTTTTCAATTCGGTATAAGTTAACCAACTTACGGGACATCGTTGTTCATCACTTCCTGCACTTAATTGAATATTCCATTCACATGGAATCTCATATAGAATGTATTTGAATTCGAATAATATTAAGTTTAAAATATCCTAAAATTGATAAGAAAACAAATAACTACTAAAGTTTCATACACATAGTTCCCTTTATCATTTTGAAAAGAGCAAGAACAAAGATTCTAGCAGAATAACATGAATTCATTTTATTTCGTTGGTTCTCGTCAGCTGCTTACAACCTGTGATATTTAAAAAATCATAATTGCATAATGGATTTAAATTGCTTACTGAATATTGTAAATATAGACCTAATGTGAAAGAATATTCTACAACACTAATTGTGACAACAGTTCAAATGTGGATTAGAAACAATTGACTACATAATGAATAAACATTGATAGGAATACAGTGAGTAGAGTTCAGTTGAAAGATTATTAATTTGAAAACTTTTATGGTGCAGTGAAGGAATATTTGTCACCAGGGCAAGGAAAGATTAACCACCGTCTCCTTTTGAATACATAGGTCAGGTTTTTGACGACTGATGGCAATGGTTTCGGCTAACTTCAGAAGACTGGAGTTTGGCTGCTTACTAATCACCCTAAAGGATTGTAAGGTATCTAACTGATGTCCTGTATCAAGGAGATGTTTAGTGATTGCACTACTTAGAGTCTTTCTTTCTCTTGTTCTGAGGTTTTTTGGAACATGTTCAAAAAATCTGAGATATGCCCTCCTTTCTGTTCGGCCAATGTAGCTGCTTTGGCAGGTACATGTAAATTTATAAATACAATTGGCGGTAACATGAAAAGGATGCTTATCAACCTTTGATTGAGTTATTGAACATGTTGTTTTATAGAGAATTAAAAGTTTAGCAGCCGGATAGGTTCTGGCTAGCGCAGTATTGAGTCTCCTGTTGATTGTGATAGCAAAATCATCAACTATAAGTCTTAACTTCAAAGGTGATGATGTTGCACAAATTATCAACAAGACACTGAATACAGCGCTAGCCAGAACTTATCCGGCTGCTAAACTTTTAATTCTCTATAAAACAACATGTTCAATAACCCAATCAAAGATCGACAAGCAACCCTTTCATGTTACCGCCAACTGTATTTATAAATTTACGTGCACCTGCCAAAGCAGTTAGATAGGCCGAACTGAAAGGAGAGCATATCTTAGATTATTTGAACATGTTCCAAAAAGTCTTAGAACAAAGGAAAGAAAGACTCGGAACAGTGCAATCACCAAACATCTCCTTGATACAGGACATCAGGTAGATACCTTACAATCCTTTAGGGTGATTGGTAAGCAGTCAAACACCAGTCTTCTGAAGTTCGCTGAAGCCATTGCCATCAGGCGTCAAAAACCTGATCTATGTATTCAAAAGGAGACGGTGGTTAATCTTCACTTGCCCTGGTGACAAATGTTCCTACACTGCACCTTAAAAATTTTTTCTTTTTTCTGTTGCATTTATTACATCATTGATTCTATTTTATTTTTTCAATTATCTTTCAAATTAACAATCTTTCAACTGAACTCTACTCACTGTATTCCTATCAATGTTTATTCATTATGTAGTCAATTGTTTCTAATCCACATTTGAACTGTTGTCACAATTAGTGTTGTAGAATATTCTTTCACATTAGGTCTATATTTACAATATTCAGTAAGCAATTTAAATCCATTATGCAATTATGATTTTTTAAATATCACAGGTTGTAAGCAGCTGACGAGAACCTACGAAGTAAAATTAATTCATGTTATTCTGCTAGAATCTTTGTTCTTGCTCTTTTCAATTATTAAAGTATTATATTATGTTATGTGCAACTGATGTCGATAGATATAAGTAGTATATAAATCCGCCCGGACTACCTCTGTGGCTACTGCCGGTCCCAAGTCCGGATAAAGTTGGAGGGTTAGGTATGGGTTTAGCAACCCCATCCCGTAGAAATCTAACTCGCTAAAAAACGCTATAAGTAGTATGTATCATTAATCAAAAGTGAAATGTCTGGAGACAGAAAGTTAGGAAGATAGAAGAAATGAGAACGAAAACAAAAAAATGATTGATGTTGAAAAGAAAGAACAATGAAGTCTGAGACGATTGATTGACATTTTGCAAATGAAATATTTACTGTATGGTTCTCAGATTTTACTTAGATGTTCTGTAACTTTGTATTATATCACGTTCGATTGTCACACCCCTCGTGTGTTCTCGTTCCCAACAATATCAGCTCTCACTCTCGAAACGCTCGCACATGGCCTCTGCCAGGAAAGTCTTACTCACTGTCTTCTCATGGCGGAGAAATCGACAGGATGAAACCGAGTTGATGGATACTGAGGTTCCATCTAAGGGAGTTGGTAAACTGTGATCCCAAACAAATGATGCACATGGTGTCCAGGATCCTGAGGGAACAAAATGATTATGAACCTATAGTTGGTCACCAGCTACCATGAGACTGCATCTCCTGACGTTGTCTCACTGACTTGTGGATTCGACCTTTAGGTCGAAGGCTCTACTAAGAAAACCATTTACTTCGCTCTGGGGACCCGGGCAGTATCGTAGCCCACACACAAATCAAGTGACTTGTGTAGCGTATGTGTATTCAGTGTCTCCTTAAGTGTTCAAATGATAATTATTTATGGATATTATAGTAGTTTCAATAGTTGAAATCATGAGTCAATTGAAGCTAGACCGCTATTGGAAACCTGAAAGAATTGGACGGCCTTTTCATCCCAGTGTGGCACTCTTCAGCTATGCGCATCCATGATCCCACACACGAGAAACGAACTCAGGACCCACTGGTCTAGCGCGTGAACGTTCAACTTCTATACCACTTAGCCAGTATCTTACAGTGTTAATGTCTAACTTCAAACAATCCATGAACTTGCGGCACCGTCTACTATCGTCTTCAGTGAGTTACTATCTCACAAAAGGCCCGATTACGACCGCCCAGTGCCTCCAGGTTTTCCACGGTGGTGTAGCTTTAATCGACCCATGAATTCAACTATTAAAAATTTACTTAACAAAAGTTTACAGATAAATTTTTGAATTCAGAAATTTATAATCATATAAACTAGAGTTAGTAAAACTGTAAACAGTTTTAAATTACCTGCTCTCCAGTTGTCAAGTAACCTTGAGTATCCAATGCATTTCTCGTTATAACTATCCATAGTTCATTCCATAAAGTTAATCGTATTTTAGACAAATCGAATAATAGTACACCATTATTATACCCGTAACCCTAAAATAAATATTGTACACATAACTGATTACATTTTACACAGAAATAGCTAAATAATATTTTTCATCACTTGTAATTTTTGACTATAACCATCATCAAGAAGGTACAAGTATTTATAAATGGTTGTCCACGCAAGATACTCAACATCCGTTGGCCGGATACCATCAGTAACAGCCTACTGTAGGAGAGAACAAACCAGCTTCCAACTGGAGAGGAAATTAGGAAAAGACGATGGAAATGGATAGGACATACATTACGCAAATCATCAAACTGCATAACAAGACAAGCGCGAACTCAGAATCCTGAAGGGAAGCGGTAAAGACGAAGGCCAAAGAACACATTACGTCGGGAAATAGAAGCGGATATGAAAAGGATGAATAGCAACAACTGGAAGGACCTGGAAAGGACTGTTCAGGACAAAGTCGAATGAGATTGCTTGTGGGTGGCCTATGCTCTTCTATGTTGAGTAACAGGCGTAACTGTAATCTTTGGTTTTCAAATGTATGCCTGTCTTGAAAGTTAGTGTTTAGCCCCCAAATACTCCGGTACGGTCGAGAGTTGGAATAGTCTGCTCTCCCTCTCGAAACGCTCTCACATCGCCACATGCATACACTCACTGTCAGGGAAGTTTTACTCACTGCCTTCTCGCGGCAGGGGTGTTATTTACGAAATTGAGAGGACGAAAAGCGAATGTCTGATGCTTTAACAGGGTTTGTTGACACGGAGAACACACCTAGAGGAGTTGAGAAACCCTGATTCCAAACCAATGGTGTACATAGCGTATGAAAATATTATTGGTCACCGGCTACTATGGAAATGCATTTCCTAACTTGTGGATTAAAGCGTTAGGTCAAAGGCTCGGGGTGTGGCTCCCTGAGAAAACTACCTGCTTCAGTTTCAGCAACGGGGAATTATCCCAGCCCTCATGTGAATCGAATGATTTATGTGGTGCATATGTAGTTGGTGCCTTTTTGAACCAATTTTAATGTGTATAAATAAATAAATAAATGTCATTTCTAAATTCTTTCATTTAGTAACTTCTTCAATAAAAAAGAATACTTAATTGAGGTATTGTTGTAGCTTCGGACTAATTGACGACTGTATTCTAGAGATTCCAACAAAGAAGTAGACTAATATCCTATTAAGAATATCTGATCTCTCAGTACCGTTGATACACACATTCGTATACAAGTACCAAGTAGTACCATACATTTGAGCCAAGGCTTTATGTTGATTACTTATCACTAGGCAAAACAACAAACATCAAGTTGATGACTGAATTTAAACAACATTAAGAATTAGCTAAAGACGACAAATATTTTAACTCATAGGTTAATGGAAATTAAATTCAATGATTTTTATAAACCATCTAATGGTTCATATTTATCCCTACAATCTGATGTAAACAAGGAAAAATTATGCAATTCATTTGAAGCTACTATTATTCTACAAAAAGTAGTTTGGTCTTTTTGTAAAAAAAATTAATAAATGATTCATTTCAAAATTAAATATTTCAATGTATTTGAACTTACTTCCCAGTTACTTTCTAATTTTGGCATAACATCTTGAAAATGTGGATTTTGTTCTAATCCAATGCCTATGCTCTTTGAAAAAAAGCCATGAATATACGTAAATCATTAGAATGAAGTATAAAGTTTTAAACTACCACTCAAGAATAACACATGAAGTTCATTTATATTACTTTGTAGTTAACGATATAACTCTAGAATTAAATGAGTCCTAGATCTTGCCCAATCAATTTACTAGCCGGCAATTACTTAATTGCATTGCACTAGTTCCATTATTCTGAATAAAATGCTTCTACCTGAAGTGTTTAGTGAATTGAAAGCTTCACTACTATACTGTTATGGTTTAGTTATTGTACAGATTCTTAACTGCTGATTATTTCGAAGGAGACCACTTATATATATTTATAACCAAAAAGACATCTCAGTAATGATAAAACATCGATGTTAACGGATGTTTCAAATGAAGCTGACAGAATATGCTGATTATAGGTGAAATTCTACTCAAGTATATCATGCATATAAGGTTTACCTGCTTGTATATGTTTGTTTTTATTGTGTCAGGATGGAATTTCAGGCACTCGAATGTTAACATATTTTGTGTATCTGCGTATAATCCATATTTCTTTAGTGAAACCATACTTGAATCATCGAAACTTTAGTTAACAGACTACTAGTAACTGAAATTTAGTAGTATATTTTTCTATGCTGTTTATGTAGAATATAATTAAGATGAAATTTGAATTTAACTACAGTTCTAATAATCTATCTGTTGCATCAAGTAACTGTGTGTAACCGCAAGACCCTAGGTTCTATTGCAGTGAACAAGAACACCAGTGGGCACAATCGAATGTAATTAACACAAACTCACAGGACATGTTAATAAAATCTAACAATCATAATGTAAATGCTTAATTTGCAAAATGTCCACCAATTGTCTTAAAGTGACTCAGACTTCATTGTTCTTGCATTTTCATACAAATTGCATCCTGTTTCCATTCTTTACTGTTTGATCCTCTTATCTCTTTGCTGCCAGACCTTCTGTTCACGACTAACATCATATACTACTTATGTCAATATAAGTAGCACACACCACACTATCACTACTTCTAAAAAGCCTTGTACTCACATAAAATCGTTATACAGTAACTTCAAACAAACTGCTTATTATACTTATGATGCCATACTAAGACTAAAATACTCTATAGAGAAAACTTATTCATCAATAACAAAGATTTAAGTTGATATAAACAAACCTGAATTTCATTGAAATTTTCAAAGTGATTCCATAATTCAATAATATCTATGTTAAGAAGTATATCATTGTCAAGTACAATAACCTAAAGAAGAATTTCACAATGATGTATGTAAACTATAGTTGACAATATATATTGAACACCTAAATAGGAGATAAGAAGTTGATAGGGAATTTTAATTTAACAATTGGTTTATGTGCAAGATATGAGAGTTTTTATAACCTTGAGAATATATACATAGACGATGGTGGATGTGTCTCTCAGTTTTGTGAATTAGACACTAACACCATTGGATACCGGCTTAGTGGTCTAGAGGTTAAGTGTCCGCGTCCGAGATCGATAGGTATTAGTTTCAAATCTCTCAAGGTGGGTTCATGGATGCTCACCGTTGAAGAGTGTCAAACTAAGAAAAAAACGGCCGTCCAGTGCATTCAACTTTTCCATGGTGGTCTAGATTCAGTTGAATCACGATGTCAACTATTGAAATATGTAGCTACTTAGAAAATGGTAAAATTAGTGACTATCTTTATAACTTCTTAATCAGAACCAAAAATGTATACCTAATATCCTCCTAAAGTTTGACTAGAAGCTTCGAAATGTTGTTTATGATTCAGAATGTTCTAAGCAATTTTTTCTTACTTCTCGAATCGTTATCGACGCTTCAAACACCACTCCACGTAGGTGTGTGTAACGGTCAGCGTCCATTTGGGCTGGAGAGTAGCAGATGAACCACATGAGTTATGTCAAATTCATTTGAAATAGGGTATTTTTGACTGTTTTGGAAGATTATTCAAAGACATCTTTGATTTCACTTGGATGTTACTAACTTAGAAGTGGTTAGTTACTAGAAAATATTTATATTACTCAATCATATTCATAAAATATAATTTTACCAGAATTATTATTTGATCAAGAAAGATATCATTATAGTTCAGTGCTGCTATGCAAGTTAGAATATTAAAAATTGAGAGGTATCTTTGATAAATTCCGAGTTCGGGTTTCACATTCAGGATCGTGGATGGGCACTACTGAGGAATCTCACTCCAGGATAAAACAATCTTCCAGTGCTGATGTGAACAGGAAAACAAGAAGCCCTGAAAAACTATGAAAGCTATTTTTCGGGACGTTATTTTATTCAAAGCTTGTAAAACATTGACATTAATTTTTGTCCCTAATCTATTCTACAGAACATAAACTTTCGTTCGATGTATGATTCATCGCCATACCGTTTTCTGTTCCGAAGCTATTGTAATTTAAACATAACATTTTGCACCTTATTTTCTACTCTAATTCCCAGTTTTGGACATAATTGTATTTTTCCTAATTATGGTACGTTATGGTCGGGTTATTCACTTATTTATTCATGTACCTTTTTTGCACTAATCCGAACTGAACTGAACTGGAATCAAGATATCAGGAATCGATCGAGTAGTGTTCCAGTTGTCTTGTCTTCTCTCATTCGTGTGCTTGTCAGCCAATCAGGAGATAGAATAGTTTCCTTCTCTCTACCCCACTTCGAACTCATGCGTACTAGCCTCAAAGTTAGGTCGGTCAGCCTATCGTGCCAAGGCCTTAATCTGAGTTACATAAGTATCCTCAGCGCCAAAAGTGGGTAGATAGACCAAAGGACATAACAATTATGCATAGCTAATATTCATTGCACTTCCCTTGGTTACATGAATTCATTCAAATATGGAAATGTTATGTTAACTTGGTGATCTCAAGGTGATCTCAACCATTAGCTTTCACACATAATCAAAATATTTTGTAAACGATTCTGTAAATCCCCACCGTCCGCCACCCCTTCTATTTTTCATTTATCCACACGTTATCTTTGGTAGATTATTAGTAAGAGTGAAGAATGGGACTTACTTTATTGATATTAGTTGGTAGTATCTCTGTAAGCATTAATTTTAAAAATGGTTTAGCACCTGCAGGATGTTTAGAGCTTATCCACTGAAGATTTGCCTAAAAAACAAAAACAGTACACAGAACAAAATACATAATAGTAACATTTTATTACTATAGGGTTATAGAGATTGTTGTGTTGTATGAGTATTATGAAGCGATATAAGTTGGACTACTGTAAAGAACAAGAACACAAGTGGGGACAATCAAGTGTATTACAGACTCTATTAGTAAAATCTGAGAATCATGCAGTAAATAGTTCAATTGCAAAATGTCAATCAATCGTCTCAGATTTCATTGTTCTTTCGATTTCACACCAATTATTCTTTGTTCTCGTTCTCTTTTCTTTGATATTCTTAACATTCTTCCTCCAGGCATTTCACTTTTTATCGATGATATGTACTGTATATCTGTCGAAACCGACTAGCATTCTCCAACCCACTATGTACTGAATCTTCCTTTCTAGTTCTATCCAATTTTTGTTAATTCTTTTTATGTCTATCTCCAATTCTCGGTGTAATGTGTTATTTGTTCTTCCTCTTCTCCCTTGGCATTGAGGATTCCATATGAGGGCTTGCCTTGTGATGCAGTTAGGTGCTTTCCTCAATGTGTGTCCCATCCACTTCCAGCGCTTCTTCCTGATTTCCTCCGCTGAGATCTGGTTTGTTCTCTCCCATAGTAGGTTGTTGTTGATAGTGTCTGGCCAACGGATCCGAAGTATGTTTCGTAGACAATTGTTAATAAACATTTGTATCTTCTGGATGATGGCTTTCGTAGTTTTCCAAGTTTCCGCTCCATACAGTAGAACTATCTTGACATTTGTATTAAAAATTCTGACCTTGGTGTTGGTTGATAGTTGTTTTGAGTTCCAGATGTTCTTCAGTTGTAAATATTCTGCTCTTGCTTTACCGATCCGCGCTTTCACATCTACATCAGATCCACCGTGTTCATCAATGATGCTGGCCAGATATGTAAAGATTTCTGCATCTCCCAAATCTTCTCCGTCAAGTATGATTAGATTGATGCATTCTGTGTTGTGTGGGAGAATCTTGCTTTTCCCTTTATATATGTTGAGACCTACCGCTTTTGTGGCTAAACATGGCCATAACTCCATTTCTGAACTTTACTTTAAATATTCAAATAATTACCTTACTACTGTGAACTGTATGTTTATTCAATAAGTATAAATTGACATAAATTTGTAAATTGCAATCAACGGAGAAGATGTTGTTGAAGAGATCCAGAAAACACTTAGCGAAAAATGCCAAAAAAGGCTCTGAAAACATTGAGAACCATCTTATCCAATTAGCATTCACTTGACGTTTTCCCAGAAACATCTAGAAAGTAAAATGTCACATGTCGAGTTTTGGATTGGATGATTATATATACCGCTTCTAGGTTTAGTAGCGTTTCAGAATTTCCCGGATACCCTTAGGACATTTAAAATACTCTAAAATCCTAGATTTTCTATAGGTAAACGAACCTTTGGAGTAAAGCGTTTTTTCCATATTTCGCACATTTTCTTTCGTGTTTAAGTCGCTGTGTAAATTTAGCCTGGCAGTTACTAGAAGAGCTTAGGAAATTGAATCCAACGTTCAACTAGAAAACTTATCAATGGCGACGGGAAAAACTATAATGAATATTTCTTTGGAGCAACTAGATACTTATATGGAGCGTTAAGAAAAGCGGTTTGAACAGTCTCAAATCAAAATCATAAATGCCTAATCTAACGTTCAATTAGAAGACTTATCAGATAATGAACCATTCCTCTAGTTTACACTAATCTCATATTAAGATGAAACAACTGTTAAATAGTTCTGTACTTAGGGGTATGAACAATACAATCTATGATTAAGGATCATTAGTTATAATGTATGCGAAAACTTACCAAATAGTTACTGCAATTGTAATAATGATATTCCATATTATGTAATTTCCATGTATTCATCAAATTCAACAACTGACTATTTGATGAAATCGACGTTATTAAGAAATGAAATACAGTTGTATATGTTGTTGATACATTGTTCATAACAGTTTGACAATCATTCATAAATCGATCACAAAAGTTTGATAGACAACAAGCTTTTAAATCACATCGAAATCTTCCATTTTGATGATAGAAAATAGATTTCAGAAGACTATTCAAATATTGTAGATCTCGATCACTATCATATAAGATCACAATGTGAATTTTATTTTCCTAAAACAAAAAAATTCTCAGAAGGGTTTTTGTAGATATTATAGTAATTTCAATAGTTGAGATCATGAGTCAATTGAAGCCAGACCACCATGGAAAACCTGGCCGGCTTATTGGCCTAGTAGTTACGCACTCGCGCGAGCAACTGATGGGTCCTGGGTTTGAATCTCGCAAAGTGGGATTGTAGATGTGCACTTCTGGAAAGTCCTATACTAGAATGAAACGGCCATCCAGTCCTTTCAGGTTTTTCATGGTTGCTTAGCCCTAATAAACTCATAAATTCAACTATCAATTTAGTAAAAAATCTCCACAAAACCTGATAATAAATTGAATGTATATATTAATTGAACTAATTAAAAGCACACGTTACTATTTTGATCATAATTTAAAAGTGCACTACTACTACTACTGGATAGTATAAGACGGTGAGATATTGTCTTGTTTCTAGGTTCCAATACATTAATGATGTGAATTTTTTTCTATAAACTAAAAAAATTTAATAGTTGAATTCGTGAGTCGATTGAAGCTAGATTACCATTGAAAACCCGGAAGCACTGAACGGTCGTTTCGTCCTACTATGGGACTGTTCAGCAATGCGCATCCATGATCCTACTCACAGGACTCGAGCCCAGGACCTCCAGTCTCACGAGCGAACGACTAACCTCTAGACCACTGAGCTTGCATTCAACCTCGTTAATATCTAACTTCAACCAATCAACGAAATTGCCATAATCAATGGAGCCAATCGATGTCAGGTAGGGACAGATATCTACCTCGGACAATGGAAGATAGTCGAGCATTTTAGTGGATTGGTTGAAGTTAGACATGAACACAGTTGGATACGAGCTCAGTGGTCTAGAGTTTAAGCATTCACTTGCAAAACCAAATGTCCTAGGCTCGAGTCCCGGGTTTGGGATTGTAGATATGCACTGCTGGAAAGTCCCATACTAGAACGAAACGACCATCCAATACTTCCAGGTTTTCCATGTTAGTCTAGCTTCAATTGACTCATGATCTGAACTATTGAAATTACTATAGTCAGTCAGTCAGTCAGTCAGCTACAACGTAGGACCAGGCACATATGTGCATCGGTCCAGGTTGCCATACCTCATTAGCACAGCAAGATGAACAGCGGATTCATAGGAGTGGTTAGGTCAAAGGTTGCAATAAGGATATAGTATAGGAAGAAAGAATTAGTTCGTAGACAGAAAGAATGAAGTGATTTTACTCTCTTAGTTTAAGGGAAGACAGGGAGTGTATACACCGACGCCATTGTGATCGATTCTGAGCCATGTCACCAAGAGTCTCCAACCATTGGTTACGAAAGTCACGCGGACCCCAACCAAGTAGTCTGCATCTACCAACATGGCCCAGACTAGAAGCTAGTGACTTCAGGCACTATAATATAAATAAGTATCCCTCTCTGATGATAAACATATTTTTTTATTAACTATTACTTTATCATCATATAACTTACCATGGATTTCATTGTAGTTAGTGAATAAATTGTAAAATCCACATTCCAATAAGTGAAATGAAGTACACTACATATAAATAAACTGAATATAATAATGAATGATAATAAGACTTTATTATTATATTGATATTTTTTAATATGATTCATTGTTTTAATGTATCTATTAGGTTCAAACCAATCTGTAAACCATTCTATCATCTTTAATAATAATAATAAGTTGAACCAATTAAAGTATGATCAGTTACAATGATTGATGGAATCATCACTAAGATACTTGTTACCAATCAGGTAATTGTAAAATTTCAAATGTTACTTTATATTCATTATAGTTTCTTTGATTGGTTAGAGATTGTAGTAATTTAATAATTGAAATCATGAATCAATTAAAGCTAAGCTACCATGAAAAACATGAAAACACTGGATGACCGTCTCTTCCTAGTATGGAACTCCACAGCTGTGCACATCAACGACCCTGCCCCGGAAGCTTCTAACCCAGGACCTATCAGTCTTGCGGGTAACGCTTAACCTCTAAACCACTAAGCCAGCTGGCATCCATAGGTGTTAATGTTTGACTTTAACTAATCCACGAAACTGAGCGACACATCCACCATGTCATCAGTGAGTTACTATCTCACAACAGACCGGGTTGGTCTCCACTGATCACGGCTTCTCACTAGAATTCCAGGAGATAACTCTTGAAGCCAGGCACTGGTGAGCATATGATGATTATAGTGAACATACATACTGAAAGATAAATAATAACCTGTCAATGAAAAGATCTTTTGTCATAGTGATTAACTTTAAATTATCGAGTGTTAAATGATTGTATCTAACTAATATAGAGATTCACTTCGTATTACTTTACTTGAATCTTCCCATTGATAATTAGGACTGTAATTGATCAGTCTCCTATTGGTACATCCAGCTGACGGGTCCCGGGCAGGACAAAACGAGCGTCCTGGATTCCACTGTTAGCCACTATCTATCTTTGCTTATAATCTACAGGTGTTTAGCAATAGACTAGGTTTCCACACAGAGTTTATGTTCAGAACTTTCTAGTAGAGTTATAAACGACTGGCCACTGGTAGGGTTTACGATCTACTCCTCCAAAGAGTCATAAACTAGCTGAAACAGCTAATAGATACTTTCTCGTATGCATTAACTCAAGAATCACTTACTTACGCCTGTTACCTCTTGTCTAAGAGCATAGGCCGCTCATCAGCACTCTCCATCCAACTTCGTCCTGCAGCACTTCTACAACTACTTCCGGTTCCAAGTCCGGTTAAAGGAGGAGAGTTGAGTATGAGGTCGGCGACCTCATCCCGTAGAAAAACATCTTGCTAGAAAAAAAGGCCAATCAGATTAAAAAAATTAATCCAAGACTACATGAAAATAATTAATTTTGATCAACTATGATAGTTCATACAAAACTTATTTGTTTAACTAGATGTTTACCATTCAATTCTGCTATAAAATATCATGGAATCAAATTAGTAAACGGAATATAAAGTTTATTTTTCATTATAATGAAGACCTAGGATTATTATTCAAAGGATTGATCAAAGAGAATAATGAATATAAAGAAACTAAGATCGATGGTATTATTTGATCTCAAAACACCGATATTGATATTTGTTCACGATAAATGGTCCTGAGTTTGCTTCTTGATATGGTAGACACCCCCAAACGCCTTGGTACGGCCGAGAGTGGGGATAGTCAGCTCTCCTTCTCGAAATACTCTCACATAGCCATGCGTATAGAGCTTCTACCAGGGAAATCTTACTCACTGAATTCTAGTGGTAGGGGGTTTTGCTTACGAAATTGAGAGGACGAGATACGAATGTCCGGCACTTCAACCGGTTCGGTGAACACGGAAGATCCATCTAGGGGAGTTGGAAAATCCTGATTCCAAACCAATGGTGCACATAGGCTCCAGTATCCTGAAGGAACAAATGACGTATGAACCTACTGTTGATCACCGGCTATCGTGGGACTGCATCTCCTGACGTTGCTCCACTACATCGTAGATCAGACCTTCATGTCGAAGGCTCCGGGCGTGACCCCATAAGATAACTGCCGGCTTCAGTCTGGGCACCGTGGCGGTATCACAGCTTACACACAAATCAAGTGACATGTGTGGCGCATATGTATTCGGTGCCCCTTTTGTACCAATATTTATTTGTTCAAATAAATAAATAGATTGTGTTACAGGATTAAAATAAAGTTCCATTGTTGTTCTGAATTATATCATCAAAGCTGGTTGTGAGTAGAAACCTCCACATAAAGTAAGCTTTGATGATGTTGCCCAGAATGATGATGAAGTCATTGTAAGCTTTATTGTATTACAATGTTTAATGCGACTCATGAACATTAGATGACAATTCAAAATCTTACAATAAATTCTGAAAGAATCTAAGAAATTAGATAAATTTCATCCTAGGATGGAACTCTTCAACAGTTCACATCCATGATCCTGGGTTCAAATCCTGTGGGGCGGGATTCTAGATTTCCCATGGTGATCTAGCTTCAATTTACTCATGAATTCAACTATAAGATTTTCTTTAAAAAAAACACAACACATTTTTATCTTTTAAAAAGTGAAAACATGTTGTTATCCCACAAAAAAACATTCATACAAATGATGGTCACTATGGTAGAATAAGGAAACACAATTCAGGAGGAAAACCATAACAGACTTAGACTAAGCAAGGGAATTATTTATCTTTATCTGTATAGGGTTGTGGAGATTATTAAGTTTTTGATTGAGATCATGAACTGATTGATATTAGACTACCATTGGAAACCTTGAAGCACTGGACGGCCGTTTCGTCCTATTGTGGGACTCTTTAGCAGTGCTCATCCACGATACTAATAATAATATACATATTTGAGGTTTTATCCGGAGAAATAATTCATCAAAAGTAATTGGAATGAAGTATAAATGGCTTTTTACAGATCAAACTTGTCTTTTTTCATTATGTAGAATATTACAGAATTAGTTCAATCTGTAATACGGATTGACCTCACTCAACTATTATCAATCCATAATTATAAACTATCAATTTATCTCATTAGTGAAAAGTTTGAGTTGAATGTTACTTTCATACAATACATAAGAATTATATTGTTGAATAGAGTATTAAGTAGTAGGTCAATACATATATATTCAAAGGTCAAGAATAGTAATATAAGTACTGACTCTTAATAACATAATCTTAATCAGGTCAGTATGTATTCAAGTGTTAAAAACAACACTAATAATAAGTATATAGAATCAATATTTTTACTCACAGTTGATTGATCATTGGATGTTTATCAATGTCATATATGTCAAGTTCTTCTTAGTGCAGATTAATTCCTATAGACTGAGTTGGAATGTGGCCACTAGTCTAGGTGACTAGACATTACGTGCGCTATGTGGTGATAAGATGATGGTTGGATATAGTCAACAGGGATCTCTGGACCTAGGTTTCATACTACTTGGCGCTTGTCAGTAAGGTGTACTTGTAATCTTGATGGAACTGATGCTCACTGACGGGTTAAGATGTACTTATAATCGATTCATCACTGCAGGAGGTCAGTCGCAACCCGGATAGTCTGGTGGTAACGTCTCTGACTGTGAAGGTGGATGACATGGAATCAAATCTATCAAGGAGCTTCAGTCCCCTCATGGCTATAGGTAAACTCTGTTGACGAGTGCCAAGTAGAACGAAACCTAGATCAAGGGTTTCCTGTTGACTTCCTTCAACCACCATCTCATACTTTTACTCGTTTATGTTGTATAATCAATCAGTTTGATGAGTCATAAGATTATAACATAAAATATGCACATACTTGCTGCTTGTTGATGCTATGAGAAAAAAATGTTTAGTAACAGTTAAAATAATTAGAACTGTATTACCGTTGTTTATGCATGATTCATGGCAGTGGATATTTTCATTGCATGGTCCTTTTAATTTTACAACAAACCATATCTAGCATTCGAGACATTAGGAAACATTTCAGTGAGACCATAATTTATGGATGACCTTTAAAAGACTCTAGACTGATCTTGAGAGTGTCAACCTAATACCTTGGACCAAGTGAGGATAATAAACCAGTTTAAGGAATTCGAACTGTGATTTACATTTAATGCTTATGGTTAAGAATTAGATTCAGGGTTTTCATCACGAACTGACATAAACTATAATGCCAAAACTCTATTTAGCCAAATGGATGAGTGAACTTCAAGCCGAAATCTGAGATCTGTTATCTTATACCTGATTGTTTCGTCCATAAATTACAGTCTCGCTCACTTGTTGTTACACTTTAATAACTTAAACAGGTATAGGTAACCTATAACTCAGTTAACACGTTCAATTGAAGATAAATCTTTAGTTTATCATGTGATTCAATATCGATGATTACAACTGAAAACAACTGTCTTTGAAAAAGAACTCAGTCGATCATTATGTATATAAAGAAAGAAACATGATCCTTATGGCTCTTCTATGATATACATTAACCAATCTGTTAAGATCGAAATTATCTATGGTTGAATTACCTATAAATTCAGCCATAGATCAACAAAATGTCGAGTAAGAATGAATAAGAAAATACTATGCTACTGTTGAATTCGCATAAATTTACCATATTATTTGATATTCTTTCAGTTTCTCAAAGATACATTTGAAAGAAACTGAGTTTGTCTAACGAATTCAAACAGTATTTACTCACGTATTCTACAGATAAACAAATTCAATTCACACCATGCGCTCACTAGTGACTAGCTTCGTGAGAAAATTATCGGAATTCTGGTGAGAAGCCGTGACCAGTGGAGCTAATCCGTGTCAGAGAGAAACAGGTGTCTATCTCAGTACAATGGAAGATGGTCGCGCAATTTCGTGGACTGGTTGAGGTTAGAAATTAACACCACTGGATTCCGGCTCAGTGGTCCGGTAGTTCAAGCGTCCGCACGAGAGACTGAAGGCTCTGGGTTTGAGTCCCGCGGGGTCGCGGGAACGCACTGTCGA